CCATTTACATGTACTGCTTAAAATGAATGACAGAGCCTGAAAGTCAAAGGTCATGCAGCGGGTTTCCGGAACCCTTGCGTGGTCTGCCTATGGGGATGTTACATTGGGCTGCCCTATCATGTTCGATAATTTTGGGAAGAAAAATTCTCACTGAAACCACATCATGGAACATTCACACCGGAATTTTACCATTGTCTTCCTCAAATAATAGGAAAAGTCACCTGGAGTTGGTAAAAAAATTAAATTTATTAATTTTAACAACCTTTCACATCCGGTGATATTCTACCTAGGTCTCCTTGTTCATGCACGTTTGTTTTCACTCCCAGTCCTTTCGTGAAAACGAGATTGTACAACGTTGTAAAGATTTACCTACCTGCAGTTGATGGGTTCCAGATTCCGTTAAGTTGACATCATGCAATTGTTGTCAGCAAAGGTTAGATAAAATATTAGAATCTTTCATAAAAGTAGAACATTGCTTTACCGGTAAGTTTATCACCTTATAAATTATAAAAGTACGTAAAATATATTGATCTGTTTTTATTTTGGCTTTTACCGACAGACAACCACAAAATTTTCAAACTGTAAATGTTCATCTGTGTACGAGACTGTAGCATTGCACTGTTCTACATGTATTATAGATTTTCTTTAAGAAGTGACTGAACGAAAAAATTCTCAAATCTGTGCACGTTATTTTGCCTATCCAAGGGTTCCGGAAGCACGCCATCAGGGGTCAACTTTCAGGCTCTATGGTAACGCAGAGATGTACCGCTAAACGTATTGTACATGTACGCAGGTATTGAAACGAGAAACAAGTTCTCGGTACATGAACAGGTACACCTGTACATGTATTGAACTGTAATTATGTTACATGGTTTTCTGCGCAAGAATTTCTCAAATCACACGTACAAGTACATGTACCGTACCTAACATGTGCATGTGCACGTACTATCTTCTTCTGTGTACTTGGGTTTAAAGGTCACGGTATGACAAAAACAAGAGGACTGCCTACATGGCTCACTCCACACATGGCCATGTAGGAGTTCCACACCTGACAGCTACATGTACACACAAACATCCATCTCCTCATTACTGCTCCCCATTGATACTTTCTCCCGACCAATCAGTGGGGGGCTCATTTATTTTCCCTCCCCCTCTGAATTGCCCTCTACAAAAGCCTGACCGCCATTGGCCCCGAGTTGTCAAGCAACTGTCATCAATGGCTGGGGGAAGGTGTTAATGGCATTAAAAAAAGGAATTGATTTATTGATCATCAGTTACACGGAAGGAAAAAAATCTGACAGGTCAATTTTCATTGGCTGGTGGTTTCTTCCTGTGTACCAATTTACTGGAAATCATTGAAAGGTGCAACAAATGAGCCGTTACAAATGTCAAGAGAGGAAAAAAATGCACTTAATGGATCCTCTACACAGGTATAAAGCTCACTTAAATGGAACTTATTAGGCAGAAAATGCCACTAAGAAGGTCATGTAAGATAAGGGCAATATTGCTAGGAACCAGTCACAAGTTTTAACCATCATATGGTACTTTGGCTGGTAACACAGTTCAGGTAAGCAGAACAGTCTCACGCTAAGCTAATGTCAATGCATAGCAACTCTCTGCCATCATTTCCCCGGATACACAAGCAGTTTCACCATTAAAAACATAACATTTAGAAGCTGTTGGTACTAAGCAAAAACAAGACTAACTAGAAAATCAAGACAAAATACTTACAGCAGAAGTAAAACGTACATGTATGTATGTATTTGGTACAACTTAAGCTTAGGCCCCAGTGTACATGTACATGTACTGGTATAACATGTCACAGTTACCTTGCTGTTAGCTCAATAAATTCATGAGAAATAAGCCCTTCAAAATAAAATATGAGACCCGGTGCTGCCATTGATTTTCTTAATTCGTTTATTTTGGGGGGGGGGGGCAGTTTATGTTTTTTCCCCACAACATCACCGATTCCACTGTCCCAAACTTGTGCCTCATAAAACTCCCACATAGTGTAAATATAAATTCAAAAACAATATGGCTTGGGAAAAGAGTGTGGTTTTTTTTACCAACTACTACACGCACCTGAAACAGACTTTGTCTTTCTTCTGTTTCTTGCATAGCTCATGAAAACTATCTACATGCAAACATTCTAATGTCATACAAACCAGTCTCATTACCAACGGCCTCAGCACTGTGAATTGTATGACAACTGTGTGTTAGCATACTGTACGGGTAACATGCCACGGAAACAAGGGGTGGGAATTTTTTACGTATTAAACTTCAAATTGGGCAGGTATAAAACAAAAGCATAATCATTACCATACATGGCTTTCTCACTTCTGAATTCAATTCGGACTCTCGTTAACAAAGCGTGAATTTTTTAATAAGTGATTCATAAGTGTGACGGCAAATTTATATCCATTATTCAACTTTCTCTGTGTACAGGATGCAACAACAGCGGTAAAGGTTGTGTGCATATGTAACTGGAACATGTGTTGTAGGTGTATCATCTAAAGCACACAGTACACGTACATGGCTGCATTGTAGTCAGGGCACGTGTACTGTTCTGGAAACTGGCCGAGATTTTCGCAGTAGCTATTTAACGCTGGACCACGAACTTAAGCTTACAGCACAAGCAACATTGGATTTCACTTCACAAACTGTCTGTTCACATCAGACTCATTTAAATGTTTTGCATTCAATGTTTTTTTTAACATCCTCTTGAACCATACAAGTAGTTGAGATTCGTCCCTTGGTTTTGACACCTTACCTACATGTACATCTATGGTACGGTACATTTTGCTGCCAAACAAGGTTAGTTTTGCGAAGATTGACATCAAAGAAGTTTTGGAGGAAAGCAAAATCTTCTTTTTTTCTTCCCCAGAAAACCCAGGTTAAGAAAAAATCATCAAATACAGATAACATTGCGAATGTCACAATATTTTATTTCTTTTCCTCCAAAAAGCAGACAATTCCAATTCTGTTTGGACAATTTAGACAATTTTTTAGACAATAAAATTTTTCTGACAATATAGTATTGTGATGATAAATGTTGTACTAGTCATCACTGATGAGCACTTCATAAATGAATGAGATGTGTGCATTACAGTCATAACATGTTTTGACATTGGTTTTGGACATTCGGTACACAACAATAAAATCTGTGATGTTTGTTGCATACTTTTCAGCAAATGACTACGGCACATGTACCAGCATGCCGTGCTACATACAGTGTAGATATGGGCCCACTCCATACATGTACATACCAGCATATGAATTACAGCTTTGATATCACACATCCGATCTTACTGGCATACAGATATGTCTCGAACAGAACGGTCTGTTCTCTTTTTCCCATGCTACATAAATTTGAAGTGGTGGTGCTTGCCATTTTGGAGATTTCCTGAAGGTTTCACTTTTCAGCCATGACCACTTTGGCATGGAACTGCCCATATGCAATAAACAGTGCGAAATGGTTTTCATGAAGACCCATCGCACCGCCGTATGACATCAGTGTAAGTACAGGTACCCGTACCCGTATGAAATTCCAAAGATTCTCAAAGGATCACAGATTTAGTTTTTATCATCAAATTTTTAAAATTTAAAGAGCCTGACATTTCAATCCTTGCAGGATTTTTCTCAAAATAAAATGTGTGAATTCGTTAATTTACACTAAGTGCACTTCCAACCAGTCCTTTACAGTTGTAACTGACATTGTAAATGTTAAGTGAACAGTCTACATTATGCAAATGCATCATACATGCACACCTGTGACATTTTAGAGCAGTTGACATTTGAGGGAACAGTTCGCACTTTCATCAGTTCTCAGCATGCAAACTAACTCGCGACAGTTGAGGAGACATCTTGCAAACAGCATTAGATTTCCAGTACGGTTAAGCTATACAGCTTAACCGTACATGTGTCCTGTGTCCCCAGTCTCTCAGTCGGTGAAACCATTTCTTAACATCACTGACCAAATTTGGGCACTAGCTGAACAACCTGAACAGCTAAGAGACCCAAGAAAATTGGTGGGAAGAATAAAGTGTTTGATACAATTTGCAGCAACATTCCCACCCCTGTAAATTACCAGACTAATTTATACCCGTCTTGAGTTACCAATTTAAAGCCAAACCCCCCTTTACATTCACAATACGCGAGGCAATAAATCAGGGCTGAATCACACGCTGCTCACACAAATCAAAAATTACGTGTTGAATACTTGCAAGGCCAACACAGCAAGGTTCCCCCGGCAGCTACAAGTACCAGTCCTACACCTTACACTACAATACGTCATCAAAGTTCCTCTACATGTAGTTTTCCAGAATTGACTGTGGCACCTTATGTGTTCAGTCTGGGCTAGGGCACTACAGTGAGAGGGAAAGAAACGGAGAAAGGAGCGTTGTGACATTACCCACGATGATGGAGGTTACGGGCTGTAGAGGTGGTGGGAGCGGCGGGGGTATGCAGGGCGGCTTCTTGCGTCGACCCCGGCCCATACTCCTCCAGTCGTCCACCGGTTTGTACAGCCTGTCCTTGTCCATCTTACCCATCATTGTCAGGGTGAATCATCGCCATGGAATCTCCCGAAAACAACAGCGACCCAGAAAGACCTCATAAAAGGACCAACTGCACCATGTGCATGCCGACTGGTCGGTACACATGAAGTCTCCACCCACACTATGCACACACACTCACACACACACTGCGTGAACATTCCTACATAGCAGTCCCATCAACTCTTTTAAGCAATAAATCGTGCAGGAATTTTTTCCATGTGTCCCTGCGAGCCACTGAGTGGAAAACAGGAGGACTGGGGAGAAAAAAAAATGGGGCCTTGGGATGAAAGAACACCAACTGGGAAGATTGTCATCCTAATAAACCACGGAGGCCAGAGAGAGTCAGCTGGCCAGAAAACCAGAGCAACATCTCGGGCTAGATGAAAGCAGAGACAGGGGAGGACGATAAAAATGGCCATTACATATTGAGTGTTATGAGCTTACCCACAGTGACGTGAGCCAAGACCATCAGTTTCTGGTTGAAAGCCTCAATGTAATCCATCCCCAGCGTGCGGGCGAGAGCGACACTGCGTCTACGGATGGCAGCGTGTGTGCGGGGTCCACAGTTGTAAAAGCAATTAAACCAATCTCAGGGGCACGCATGTACATGTACCACTTCATATCAAGGATGCCACAATTGACAATAAAACCCTGACATACATGTCTGTATATGCGTGTGCCATGGTGGCACACAATGAAGGGGGGCGGGGAGACCAAATACAGGTACACCTAGACACAAACAGGCCTCACTGATGTTGCCTTCTATTCAATCACATCATAAAACAAACACAGAGAAATCAGAGTCCGAATCTTGTGAACGGAATGTACACATGTGCGCAAGCCCACTAGTGTAGTTGACAATTGCCCGGTTTGCAAACGCGATGAGCACTTGGCCACGTCTTGTTGAAGCCTACTGCTGAGCCTGTCCGTTCCGGCTACAGTCAGTCCAACTTTACCAAGAGTACCTTTAGCACCATGGCAATTGACGATTTACCTCAATGGAATGCTGGGGGGTGACTTCAACAAAATAGCTTGGCCCATAGAGAAAGCTTCGCCAATTGGGTCGGGGGGGGGGAGAGAGAGAGGAGGAGAGAAGAGGACGCATAGCAGGAGAAAAAGATAGAGGCGAGCAGTTGCCTTGCTCGGCGTCTCCAGGGGAATCAGCCGGAAGGGAGAAACTATCCACCTTCTCAGCAGGGATGAAACGCACGACAGCAGCACTGCTCCAAGGAGTCAGCTAATAAGATAGCGTTGTCTCACTACACTGGGTTTAATACACTGGTAATTAAATCTCGGACAATTAATTATGCATTCGAATACTTTCCACACCGCTTTCCCCCCCCTTTTAATTCTATTCCAATGAGTGGAAACAGCATAATTGAATTTTGCAGATTTACTTTGCTTCTTTTTTTTTTAAATTCTACCACTCCATCAGACTGGCGAAACCGATAAGGGAATCCATTAGTATGAAATGTATGCGTAAATACGGGTCAAGGATTCTGCTTCTTGTCTGTTCAGTTTTCTACACGTACATGTATCCGATTATTAAAATATCATTCACAGCCTTTCTGTATGGGACGAAGGAGGCTTGTAACACAGTAATTTCTCTTCATTTACAGAAACGGCAAGTTTCACATGCAGTCCCTGATTGTAGTGTCCACAGGTAACACATTTCAACTTTTCGTTTCTGGGTCTTTTCTCAAATAGTGCCAAACAATTAAGTGTGAGCTTCAGCCTCATTTTTTTTTTTTTGTTGTTGAATATCTGTTCCACTACATGAAGCACATTGGCAATGTGAATCATGTGGTGTGAAACTTTTGTCTTGAATTTCTGTCCAAAAGTCAAAACATCTTTTTAGGAAATTTGGAACAAATCTGGGCAGAAGGTTGCCTAGTGTGGCAAACTTTTCTTTGTCAATAAATTCTCAAGGTAATCGGTGATTTTTATGTTTTGAATCCCCAAGATCATTACTGAACAGTAGTACTAACATATACATGTACATTTATTCACTTATTCACGAGTGGTTAAGATGTCTGCACTAGTAAGCAGGAGGTCGTGGGTTCGAGTCCCACCCGAGTACGCTTGTGGTTTTTTCACAAGCCTTTGGGGGCATACACTGAGTATACAGTGTTAAAATACGCGTCGGGCAGGGCAAAAATCCAAAATTAATTTACATCTCCCCGGTGCGAGTCCATCTTTGAAATACATTTATTCACTTACCTATCCCCAGTTTTGTCAAAAAATTACATGCTTTTCATAATGAGTTTTTCCCAAACATAAGAGATGCGGCAATTAAAATTTTGCTCCAAATTTTTAACAGGTCACTAAACACCGGTCGTTAATCAACAGGGATATCTGAAACTTGCAAGTCAGAATTTCATTTTCAATGCAGTCTGAGTTTCAATAATTGTACAAGTACATGTGCACGTGTACAACACAAAATGCAAGGGGAAAAAAAATTATACATGTAGTGTGCCATGCTAAGGGGGTACCGGTATCATTTAGAGTTAAAATATCACAGTGACAAATTACATGTACGTACCGTATGAATCAAGTTCTTCAGTCCAAAAAGTTATAAGACAAATCAACCTTCAGATCAGTTTCAACTACATACACTGTACATGTATCAATTTTTCAGATTAGTATGACAGCCATTTGAAACAGTAAATAATTTTACAAGAGTCTGAATCCATCGAGAATTAGACAGTACCCTCCCCCCAAGTTTTGGTCCCTATTGTTCAGTGGTGCTTGGCCTAAGCAAAATCCTGCATAAATTTACCGTTCCCTTGCCCAGTTTTCTAAACACCAAATTTGGACATTCCAGAAATCAGACCTGGAGTGCCATTGAAGGAAAGACACATTCAGCACACTGAAATATACCTCATGAAAAAATGGACCCTCTTATGAAAAAAACAAAACACACACACACACACAAAAAAAACACTCTCAGTCTGAAAGAGAAATATGTAGAAATATCCCGGGCTGCTGGAATGGCGTGACTCCGCCATATGGCGAGCTGAGCACAGCACGGTTCAATGGCAGGAGAAATAGCTGGTTGGCTGCGGCTGATCTAATCAGACCCAGAACTTTCCAGCGGACAACGTTTAAAGGGAAACTTGCACACAACTCGTTTGTCGCAAAGCAAAAAAGAAAATAATTATTTAATGACTAATGCTTGTGCTCTCATGACTGTGACCTCACTGAGCAGAGGCTAAAATCGGCTGAGAAGCAGGCACGAGTGACATCAACATGTACAATAGTATGGCCAGTGATTAATCTCCCCTTGAATTTGGTGATGAAAACTGATACCTTTAACTACGAGTTATCACAGATGCGAGAAATTTTTGGCAGAGTTTAGGTGCCACTGGGGCAGAGTTCTTTTACAACGTAAACAGACTCTTTTGGGGGATCTTTCCTTTTCATACTTTCTACAAATGAGAGCGAAGGAAGGAGAAATTTGACCTGAAATGCACAATAAGGTGATACTCATGTAAGACCTAAACAGAAAAAAAATGTAAAACATGACCCACTACTGAACCATCCAGTGAGAAAAGAGTAGATCGCTAATTGCTGTCTGTTTATGAGGAAAGAACGGCAAGACGTGCCATTCAAATTAGTCCTACTGTGTATCTCTTAGTGTGAGTTGGAATGTTTAACCTCAATGGGTGTAGCAGCCTTGCTGGGTAAGAACTCATCACTGACAGCTGCAGGGAGGAAAAGAATCCTTCCATACTCTACCACTTCCAAATGTCATCTCCAGGTTCCGTCCAACCGTCATTGTTTTCCAAAGTCGTCAACGAGCGAGACGGCTGTCAGTTATTCCGAACTGAACAGCGTGCACTAGACAGACGGGCTCTTGGCACGGTTGGCGCAAGCGACAGCCGACACGTGCCGACAACTACTGGACAGGTCAAAATGAGCCAGGAAGCACTGCTCGTTTAGGAAATTTCCCAGAGATGAGCGGGACAGAGGAAGAGGGCAATCCATCACTAGTAACAATGACAAGTCCCCGCATCTTAGATCCTTGGAGGAGGCACATTAAGCGGGGTCTATTCACGACGCACAGGAGAACTACACAGCTCAGATAACCAGCCCAGAAAGCTGATCAGTGGTGCTCGGAACAACGCAAACATGTGCGCACAAGCACTGTGGCTTTCATCTTCACTTCAAAGGTAGGTGAGCAGGCATCGTCGACAACTATTAATACAGTACAAGTATCTTTTCATGACTAAGATATCAAGATGCGTATCCAGTGCATGCATGGAAGTTCAACAGTTGCAATGTTGCAGTACAATGTGGAATCGTACATGTTTAGAACATGTACATGTTTGCAAGCTCTGGCAAGAAGTTTTTTAAGAAATAACATTCTGATAACCACGTACATGCACATTTGTACTACCGGTATGTGAGCCTACTAGAATACGCACAGGTTCAGCGCAAATACATGTACATGTACATTCAATTCTAACATTCATCAGTGCTTTTCCAATGTTCATCATGATAATCAGGAACGGTTACAAGTTCAAAAAGAAAGGTGATAATTTTTCTGACGGGCTAAAAAAACTTGTCTAATTCCCTCTGGAGGACTTTTTTTCTCAATTTGTATGGTACTCGTACATGTACCGGTATCTCGCATGGAAAGTATTGGTGAACCATCAGCCTGTTGCAATGGATGGGTTGAGCTCAACTTACTGTATGCACTTTTTCCAAGTTCTGCCGACAGCCCTTGTTTGGAAAAACAAACTTAGGCCAACTGCTAAAAATAGAAAACCGATGTAAATAACGGCATATGCATAATATACATTTCAACATAAAATACCTGCGCACACAAAGGTTATCATGAGCATGACCTGAGCACATAAATCTTTCAGTCCACAGAAAATCAATTCTGAAAAGATGTAAATTTATACACCTCCTGTATGAAAGTTCCCTACAACCATTTTTCTTACACCAAATCCAATCGCAAGCCACATTTTCGGGGAATAATGTACATGTACACTCCCGGGAAAGCACACAGTTTGCTCTCAACATGGAGGTAGGGAGAAGGGACAATCTATGGTAATGTGACACCCTGGACAAAAACATGACAGACCAAGCCCCTCCCCTCCAAAAAAAAAAAAAAAAAAAAAAAAACAACTGGCCCCGGCCTAATCGAGTTTAGAATCCAGTCTAGCCTGGAACCTTATCCATCCCCCCTTGCACTTTACACCAGTGAGCGGGAGGGAATTATGCTGCTTTGCAACTGAATGCCGGACCAAAATGGGAGGCAAATTAAATTTGCCCCGCCAACATGTGTATCCCCATGTGGCTGAGGGGCCGCGCAGTACCCCAGCAGTGTGGGAAAGTGTGCTGGAATCTAGCGAGCCAAGAAAGAAAAAAAAAGCCATGCTGTTACTGATTATAGACATGTAAGCTCCCAGCCAACATCTGGTTACCAAGCAGTATGCGGGGCTGCAGTAATACTCAAGCGACCATACTGAACCAAAACAGTCTGAAAACTGAAGATTAAAGCCAGTACGTGATGTAAGCTTTCAAGCATTTCTAGTACTGTTCCAGCGTGAATACACATGAAACTCTTAACCATATGAAAGAGGGATCAGTAACTCTATGGTGTATCAAATGGCACAGGTGTACAGTGCAGGTAAAACCTACCTGTAAATATCCATATACTTCAGTACACAACTGCCAATAAAAGGCAACTTCAGTAACATTTGAATGCAGTCAGGAATTCAACCTTGCAAGAACTCTTGAAGGGCACTCCAGCCGAGCACAATTGTACATTAACTTGCGCACAGCTCACTTAACTCCCATGCTAAGTGCATACATGTATATTACATTAAGATAAACTTGGTGAATTTGATATTCTGTGGTTTTAAAATAGTATTCTCGAAATTCATTTCACAGACCGTGTACATGTAACCATACACTACAAAGAAAAAAATGCTTCAATGACCTACACGTAGTCCTTCCTAACACACGTGACTAGAAGCTGCTCTTTTTTAAGCCAAAACACCAAAATGAAATGTATCTGTTGCATACATGTACATGTACGCGTACCTAAACTTCTTTTCTTATAGGCTTTGAAAATTCCCAAACTGGCTAAAAACACCAGTATCCAAGTGAAAAAAGCCAACATTTTTCCACCATGAACTGTGTCAGCGTATTTTACTGCTCGTGACCAATTACCCAACAGCCATATTCAAGCTTGTGCCTGCATTTATGTTTATGTGACCAATTCAAATACCTGTACCAACTGCCAAGTAATAAAATCCACCTGCACATATTCCACGTTTACAGACATGTACTATGACAAGATTGAAGGCTTTTGATTTGGGGAGGAATTTCTCCGAATCCAAAGTGTTCAAACAAGGCATGGGGCCAGGCAAAATCTCTTTTGAGTTGCAAACCTTCCCCCCTTGGTATTCACCTCTCATTGCTGGGCTTCCCGGCTCAATGCTGACATTTGATACATCCCCTTCCCCCCTCTTCCATTCCTGTCCAAATATTTGACGGACGTGCCCCTCAAGTGTACAAGTCTTGCTGTGGTTTATGGCCGGCATGTGCAGCACTCACAGTACAGCGTAAGTTCTTGTGCATTACAAGTACCTGGTACATGTAGGTATCTCCCACACACACTGAAGATGGCAAAACATGTACATGTATTTACATGTACATGCAGTTGCTAAGGAATGAAAACAGAAGAGGGCGCTATTTACTTTCCAAGACACAGCACTGGCAGCAGTGTTGCAAAGAGCTGAATGAAACTGCGTGTATTTGCAGAAACAGAAAGCACACCCATGTACAACGTGTACACTGTACATGTTCACTGAAACAGAAAGGCATCAAATATGTGGCTCCCTCTGACGGAAGCCTTAATTGTGTGAAAACAGGGGTTCCAATTAACAGTGGTCTACTGGCCCAGGGCCACCGAAAAATTCATCAGGTCACTGCATTCTCCCAAAACAATGGCCCGGTGCGACAGTGGTCATTTGAGGAATATTGCCATATTTTCACATTTTACAACCCATATTGCTAATCACCGGCGCAGCACTTTCGAGTTCACGGTATTGTTCCACAGTCCTCACGGCCATGATTGCCCGCAATAATGCACCGGGTTTGTGTGCCACATACACACGTAAGCGCGTGACGCAACATTCTGTTCACTGCATGGTCGTGCATACAGCTCATACATGTGCAAACAACCGGAGTACTGATATGTTGGCTGGTATTGTTTTCAAACAATGCCAGTTCAACGCTATCTCCCACAGACGCCAGTGAAAGCTTTACAGGTCATGTCGAGTCCGTATTGGACGGATTGTCAAGTACGAGCAATATATAACCTCAAATTAAACAGATCAAGTTCTGGGGATTAACTCGTAAAAATCTTCTGGCGACATCAATTTTTTCGATGCGCAGCTGTAGAGTTGTGTGTGTGTACGGTACTTGTACAATGCTATTTTGACTGGTATGCATGGACTGGTTGCCGTGTTACCATCACACCTTCTTTGGCAATGGCACGGTGCAGCGGGAACCAGTGAAGCCTTGCTCCTATGCATCGAGCAATACTGCATGCATGTTTTCACAACCATGATAGCAAATTAAGAAGGGAACTTGTGAAAATAACGGAACTTTCTTTCCAGATGTTGTGTTTGTAAGCAGACAAACAAATAGAAGCTTTGGATGTGAAAAACTTGTTGCGAGGTGTTGTATGGAGATGGGACAGACAGTATTTTGTTTTCCTGTTTTAAAAAATCTTTAAACGTGTTTCTTTAACTAACCGATATAAATTTTTCTGGTCGTGCCAAAAATTTAGGATCAGTCGCGTAACCACAAGCAGAACTAGTTTTTTGGCTTAAAAAAGTGTATTCAAATCCAGCCAGGATGGCCAATCGGCTGTTTCAATAATGAAGTTTGACCGATGCAAATGGGCATGCGTGGTGGGCCTGATCAATTTCATTACATGCACTCAACCGTTGCCCCCAAATTTTCAAGAGGACCAGTGCAGTGCACTTCCCACTGACCCTGTGGGCCATCAAGAGTTTGAAGTTAATCTCAACCCCAGTGAAAATGAAAACAAACATGCATGGGATGAGAGCCCACAATGTGAGCTTCTGTTCAGTATGTGGTAAAACATTATACCGTAGTTCTTTCTGCTGCAGAAATAGGGTTTTTTTAATATTAATGAGTTCCATGGAGTTCAACTTAACACAAATGAGAAAATAAACTTTAGAAAAGTTGAGTCACATACAGACTTGGGCTTAGAAGACTCACCTTGAATCTGCCAAGGTTCCTTTTTAACATTTCCGTTCACACAATCTGAAACGATCCAGTATTCGACCCCCCCGAAAAAAAAGCTGGGGCACTTTTGCGTTTGTAAGAAACAGAAAGCGTGAAATTACACATAACAATGGAACATCAAACATTTCCCCACCCCTTTCGGTATCTCTCCGACCAAAACAGGTTAGACAAAAGTAATGTCTAAAGGAAATGCATGCAGAGGCATACGGGTAAACGCCCCCAAAAGAGAAACAGTTTCAGTGTCCCAACTGTTTTACATTTGTGTAAACTGCAATTAAACTGGGTGTGTTCTGAGGTGATGTTGGTTTACATGTAATTCCAACCAAAAGCTGATAACAACCCAGCAAAATTGACCATGCTCATACGTTCGACACACCCCCCATCTTTGTTTTTATCTAATTTTATGTACATGTACTGCACAGGTTTGCAGGAGTGGGGATGGCACAGCTCAGCCGCTGCACATACTGCAGGCAGCTTCCCTGGGCCTCGATATCCTTCCAACATTTCAGTACAGTTTCAGTACAAACTATACCAGTACACGTTCCTCGGTTTCTACACAGGACTGAGGAAGCCCTCCCTCCCTCCCCCCCACCAAACACACTATCCCCAGAGAGTTAGGGTCGGAGTTCGGTTGCATTTGACGACTGGCCTACCTATTACACAAATTACACATTGCTGTGATAATGAACCACTGGTGAAACATTTCAACAACCAGTAGCCTAGCTACAAGAACTCTGGGGGGCAATTTTCATTTGGCAGAATTGGATGAAAAGAAAGATCCTGCCACCACTGGACTTTGCTCTGTCGCATTCATGCCTACCCTAGCTATCTGTGTATCAGGCATGCATCAGACACACAAGCCCGCAGCCAAAAG